GCCGATTGAGGTGTAGGTGAACTTCATGCTATGGGCATAAGCAATGCTTCAAGCCTTGGTCGTGCTTGATCCATTCGTGTCAGCCAAGCATGTCCGGTAGGACTGTTCAGGGGAAACTGGGAAAATCACACATGCGCACAGACGCGTAGGCGTATTACCATGATAAACAACCGATATATGAGACCGGAATAGGGGGTGTGACCAAGACACGTCTCTTCCGTGCTTCAGCAGTAGGTAGAGGTGCTGCATGGCGGTCATTCAGACATCGTTAGGAGGCTTGAACAGTACATGGGCCTGGAAGCGCAGATGAGGAAATGATAACGGGAAAACTTGAGATGAATCCCGGATATCTTGATCTGATATTCGGACAACTTGAACTGGAAAATGTGTAGTCGTGATAGGATCATCTTTGCTTTGTTTTCCGCCCTTTAGGAGGGCATTCACCACCTCTCTATTTTATAATGCTCAAGCTGAATACTTATTGTTCATCTTGAAGGAACAAAACACTTGGTAACATCGTGATGTGACCTCTCTGATTCCCATATTCCGACTGCACACCAGAAAACCTCCACTTTCGTGAGTATCACATGAATCGAGAAGACAAGTTAAAAGTTAAAGGAAAAATTTATTTGAAATCTACAAAATCCAAAAATCCCATGGATTATCACGTTCTTGTAACGGTTGACTGCATCACGCATAAGCAGAACGATCCCGAACGGATACAGTGGAGATTCTGGACCATAGTTTATGCACAGGAGAGGTGAACAATGAGCATCGTGCTATCCCACGGTTTTTTATTATTAATTGTTTAAATCACAATCGAGGGGGAAAATGGTTCCCAATGTGCTCCATATGCTTCCAATTCTACGTGGAAGTTGTGTTTTCTAACACTACGCTTGTACTGACATGTACGATAAAAATGTAATGGTTACATACAAGTGATGAACTACTGAAGAAAAAATCCGAATGAAGCTGCCCGTGCCAGGTGGAATTATCTCTCTCGATCTATCCCTCCTCATCCTATTACATTCACTCCTATAACATATGGAGTCAGCCGCGAAACAAAACAACATGGCTCTCTTTAGGGTGACGAGGAAGTAGACCTAACTGATGGATGACCAGGGTTAAGCAAATGCGAATTACTATTCCCAACATAATATGCATCACCCAATAGAACTTGCAATTTTCTTCAATTGATTAGATTTACTGGTAGGCGATAAAGAGGACGCTTCTGTTCGCTACTGTAAAAATTCGGTTATGCTAACCGATCCCCCAACGGGATCTTTGAGACGCTAACTAGATAGATTAGAGCTTCCTAATGGTTGTTTTCTCTCAATGCGGTTGTTGATAGCTGGACTCCACATGACTCAATTCCTCTCCAACGATTGCAGGACTAAA